TATCTGATGATGAATACGAGAAGTATTCGAAACGTCATGCGTTTTAAAGTAAAGCATCTGAAAAAAGATTTTTATTATATGAATGGTTTTCATATATATATATATATATATATATATATATATATATATATATATATATATATATATATATATATATATATATATATATATATATATATATATATTTGATAAAAAAAAAATTTAAACGGATTAATAAAATCGTAATAAAAGTTGTTGTACTCTTGCTCTCTTCATATATATTTTGAATTTTTACATTAATAATGAAATAGAGAAAGAAGTCATTCACTTGACAGTCGAAAAGGTTCAGCCATAGAAGCCTCCGTATCCGCCTCTGAAACCTCCGTATCCGCCTCTGAAGCCTCCGTATCCGCCTCTGAAGCCACCGTATCCGCCTCCGTAACCGCCTAGGTAACCGGGCTCAGCTTCAGGTTCAGCAGCAGGCTCAGCGCTCCTCTTGCCACGATAGTATCCTCCATACCCTCCATATCCTCCCCCGAAGCCTCCGTATCCTCCATACCCTCCTCCGTAGCCTCCGTAACCTCCATAGCCTCTTAAGAAGCCGGGCTCAGCATCTGGGGCAGGAGCAGCGCTTGTGGCAACCAAGCAGTAGGCGGCCAGGGCGGCAACAATGATCTGTTTGAGGAATAACATGCATTGTTATCTTCCTGAGCTATTATGAGTAACTGAAAGTAACATGATTAGATTTGATGTAAAGCTGAATACTAAACATTAGTTTCAACCCAGCATCTTTGATCCCGATCAGAGTTCAAGATAAAATAAACATGAAGTGTATGTAAACATATATACGTTTCGGTGGCTTGTCATCCTCGGGGAGTAATAAGGACACCCCTAACTCTGACTCACCAGCAAGTACACTTAAGTTCTAAATACTATTTATTAAATATAGTAAAGTGCACTTACAGCGAGATGTAATTCTTGTTGTATATACTTATAAGTGTGAAATGATTCAATAAGCAAGAGTTAAGTAAGTGGTAAGTGTTATAGTGAACTAAACACGTTCCTTATGACAATTTTCAACAAGATAGAAAGTGTATAAACAGCATAACCTAATATCAAGTTATAAACAACAAACTGCTCAGCATGGGAGACTAAGTGAGCCAGAAGGAGTAACTAACCAGAGTCTTCATTGCTCAGGAGTGTCAGCGTTAACTGTGGCAGCTGGAGGCGGCGCGGCCTTATATACCACACAGGGGCGGGGCCACCCAAACTCTCTCATTGTGTGTTTCATGGACATCAACCAGTTTTCTGTTCTCCATACGTCGCCCTTCGTAGGTTATATGTTTACTGTCCCGTGAGACTTGAGGTTTTAATGCTTATATAATTCTTACTAATGAATGGTACTTTGAACTATGATAACGCACGCTCGCACACACACACGCATGCGAATAAAACCAAGACCCAACCAAAGCTGCTCCACAGCCACATCAGGAGAAAAACAGCAGTGAAGGAACAAGTGACGAAACTGGGAAAAGAGGAGAATACGCAGAGAATAACAAGGTGTGTGAAGAGCTCAACAAGAGATTCCAAGAGGCCTTCACAATAGAGCAAGGAGAAGCCACCCTGTACTAAGAGAGAAGGCGGCAAACCAAGTAAACTTGGAGGAATTTGAGGTCAAAAGGAATCTGTTGGAGCTGAATGTGACAAAGGTTGTTGGGCCTGGCAGAATCTCACAGTGGATACTAAAAGAGGGTGCAGAAGCACTAAGTGTGCCACTTTCTATTTTGAATAACAGGTCACTGGAAAAAGAGACAAACCGGAAAGCTGGAAGACATCTTATGTAGTCCCAACATACGAAAAGGGTGACAGGCAAGAGGCACTGAACAACAGGCCAATTTTCCTAACAAGTATACCTTGCAAGTTGATGGAGAAGATCGTGAGGAAAAGGCTTGTAGAACATCTGGAGGAAAAGAGCTTTGTAACATACCACCAACATGGGTTCAGGGATGGTAAATCCTGCCTCACGGGTTTAATAGAATTCTATGACCAGGCGACAACAATTAGGCAAGAAAGAGAAGGGTGGGGAGACTGCATTTTCTTGATCTCTCAGAAAGCCTTTGACACGGTACCCCCCATTAAAAGGCTGTCACAAAAGTTGGAGAAGCAGGCAGGAGTTAAAGGTAAGGTGCTCCAGTGGATTAGGGAGTATCTCAGCAGGGGCATAAGGTGAAAGAAACTCTGCCCATTGTTTCTCGCCGGCGCCTGGGATCGAACCCAGGAAAGGACATGTTATGCTTATATTATTTCCAGCCTATGTTATGCTTTCCAACATCAGAATTGTTTTTAAATACATGGATGGTGAAATATTAAAGAAATTATTCACGATCTTTGGGAGACAAAAATTGGAATATGCAGCAGTTGTATGATGCCCATAAGTCAAGAAACACATTAATAAACTAGAAAAGTTGCAAAAATACTCAACCGAATGACTTCGGGAACTGGAAAACAAGAGCTACGAGCTTCTTGAATTTATCTTGAGAAGATTTCGGGGTTTAGCGTGTCTGCGGTCCGGTCCTCGATCAGGCCTCCTTTTTGTTACACACACCCCGGGAAGCAGCCCGTAACAGCTGTCTAACTCCCAGGTACCTATTTACTGCTAGGTAACAGGGGCATCAGGGTGAAAGAAACATTTTGCCCATTTGTCTCCGCTTCCACCGGGGATCGAACCCGGAACCTCAGGACTACGAATCCGAAGTGCTGTCCACCCAGCTGTCAGGCGCCCTTGAGCGGCATTAGCGGCATTAATTATACCAAAGCTAGAAGGTGGAAGAAAATTATGGGATATGATCATAAAATTCACAATAGTAATAAAAATCGACAAAATTGACAAATAATACTTCTTTAAAACTGAATTCTTGAAACCGGATTCAAGCTAAAGAAACAAAGCAAGCCGAAAAAAAACTTTAAGCGTTCACTTTCGCAAACAGTGACAGACGTTGGAACGATTTAAGTGAGAAGTGCTGAAGGCCAAAACCGTCAGTAGTTTCTGAGTCATTCGACAAAGAGTACTGGGAAGACGGGACACCACAAGCGTAGCTCTCATCCTGTAACAACACTTAGGTAATTACACACTCTCCCGGGATTACTTTTCCTGAAGGCTGTTTTGTACCTGCTTTGATTAAGCTCCAAATGTTTCATATCTCTGGCTGTCAACGTAGTGTTATTTACTATTTGTGTCTGCAGGTTCGAGCAGTTAGCTCTTGTACCCCGCCTTTCTAACCGTCTGTTGTCTAATGTGCTGACTTAAACTATTTCATTCATTTATATCTATTACATATATTTCTCTCTAGTGCTCGTGCGCGCGCGCACACACACACACACACACACACACACACACACACACACACACACACACACACACACACACACACACACACACACACACACACACACACACACACACGCACTCACACACACACACACGGGGAATTGACAAGGATGGATTATTTAACACGGGTAGTATATGCACAACAAGGGGACTCAGATGGAAGTTGAGTACTCAAATGAGCCAAAGAGACATTAGAAAGAACTTTTTCAGTGTCAGAGTAGTTAGTAGGTGGAATGTACTAGAAAGTGGTGTGGTGGAGACTGACTCCATACACAGTTTCAAATGTATATATGATGGAGCTCGAGAAGCTTAGGAATCTGTACACCAGTAGACGGTTGAGAGGCGGGACCAAAGACCTAAGCACACACACACACACACTGGTAGCCTGGTCTGATCCGGGGTCTGGTAGCTGAGTGGACAGCACGCGGAACTCGTAATTTTGTGGCCCGGCGCCGGCAGAGACAAATGGGCAGAGTTTCTTTCACCCTGATGCCCTTGTTACCTAACAGCAAATAAGCACCTGGGAGTTAGATAGCTGTTACAGGCTGCTTCCTGGGGTGTGTGTGTAAAAAAAAATAATAATTAGTAACAGTTAATTGAGTGACAGTTGCGAGGCGAGCCGATAGAGCAAAGCTCAACCCCCACAAGCACATTAGGTGAACTAGATGAATACACACACACGGGGCCTGACAGCTGAGTGGACAGCGCTCGGGATTCGTAGTCCTAAGGGTCCGGGTTCGATCCCCGGCGGCGGCGGAAATAAATATGGCAGAGTTTCTTTCACCCTGATGTCCCTATTCACCTAGCAGTAAATTGGTACCTGGGAGTCAGAAGGCTGCTACGGGCCGCATCCTGGGTGTGTGTGTGTGAGAGAGTGTGAGAAAAAATAAGTTCATTGGCTGTTGAGAAGCGGCCCCAAAGAGCCAGAGCTCAACCCCTGCAAGCACTACTAGGTGAGTACACACACACACACACACACACACACACACACACACACACACACACACACACACACACACACACACACACACACACACACACACACAAATCACTACCTACAAAATCCTCAAGGGAATTGACAGGGTAGACAAGGATAAACTATTCAACACTGGCGGTACGCGAACAAGGGGACACAGGTGGAAACTGAGTACCCAAATGAGCCACAGGGACGTTAGAAAGAACTTTTTCAGTGTCAGAGTAGTTAACAGGTGGAATACATTAGGCAGAGATGTGGTGGAAGCTGACTCCATACACAGTTTTAAATGTAGATATGAGAGAGCCCAGTAGGCTCAGGAATCTGTACACCTGTTGATTGACAGTTGAGAGGGGGGCCTAAAGAGCCAAAGCTCAACTTCCGCAAATACAATTAGGTGAGTACATCCCTAGGATGGAGGCCGTAACAGCTAACTACCATGTACTTATGAACAAGCCCATCAGATGAAATAGACTCTGCCCATTTCTGAGTGTGTGTGCCTGGGTGCATGTGTGTTATCATAGTTCAAAGTATCATTCATTTGTTACAAAAATACATGCCAAAAAAAACTTAACTTTCACAACACAATAAACACGTAACCTACGAAAAGCGCCCAATAGAGAGCAGAAAACTGGTTGATGTCCATGAAACACACAATGAGAAGGTTTGGGTGGCCCCGCCCCTGTGTGGTATATAAGGCCGCGCCGTCTCCAGCTGCCACAGTCAACACTGACACTCCTGAGCCATGAAGACCCTGGTTAGTTACTCCTTCTGGCTCACTTAGGCTCCCATGCTGAGCAGTTTGTTGTTTATAACTTGATATTAGGCTATGCTGTTTATACACTTTCTATCTTGTTGAAAATTGGCATAAGAAACGTGTTAAGTTTATTATAATACCACTAACTTAACTCTTGCTTATTGAATCATTTTACGCTTATAAGTATATACAACAAGAATTCATCTCGATGTGTCTACACTTTGCTACATTTAATAAGTATTATTCAGAACTTAAGTGTACTTGCTAGTTAGTCAAGTATACTTAAGTACTTGACTAACTAGCAAGTTAGAGAGATAAGAGGCTAAGCTAGAGACTAATGAGGCCGCCCTTAGAGTTAAGAGCGGCCTTAATAGCCCCCGAGGTTAACAAACCACCAGTCCACCAAAACGTAAATCTGTGTAAAAAGTAAATCTGTGTACATTCACTTCATACTTACATTATCTTCAACTCTGCTCGGGATCAAAGATGTTGGTTTGAAACTAATGTTTAGTATTCAGCTTTACATCAAATCTAATCATGTTACTTTCAGTTACTCATAATAGCTCAGGAAGATAACAATGCATGTTATTCCTCAAACAGATCATTGTTGCCGCCCTGGCCGCCTACTGCTTGGTTGCCACAAGCGCTGCTCCTGCCCCAGATGCTGAGCCCGGCTTCTTAAGAGGCTATGGAGGTTACGGAGGAGGGTATGGAGGATACGGAGGCTTCGGGAGAGGATATGGAGGGTATGGAGGATACTATCGTGGCAAGAGGAGCGCTGAGCCTGCTGCTGAACCTGAAGCTGAGCCCGGTTACCTAGGCGGTTACGGAGGCGGATACGGAGGCTTCAGAGGCGGATACGGAGGCTTCAGAGGTGGATACGGAGGCTTCAGAGGCGGATACGGAGGTTTCTATGGCTGAACCTTTTCGACTGTCAAGTGAATGACTTCTTTCTATCAATGCATTCTAAATGTAAAGATGCAAAATATATATGAAGAGAGCCAAAATACATCTTTACGATTTTATAAATCCTTTTCGAACGTTTAATTTTTGGATCTGAGACTCATGGTCTGGGTGGAATGGCGACTGGCTCGTACTTTTGTGGTTCGTGTTCGATGCTTTGAAGACTGTAGTGAAGTAAATGTTTTACCCACGCTATTGTGGCTCCCAGTTAAATATATATATTATATATATATATATATATATATATATATATATATATATATATATATATATATATATATATATATATATATATGTGTGTGTGTGTGTGTGTGTGTACTCACTTAGTTGTATTCATCTAGTTGTGCTTGCGGGGGTTGAGCTGTAGCTCTTTGGTCCCGCTTCTCAACTATCAATAAACTGGTGTACAGATTCCTGAGCCTACTGGGCTCTATCATATCTACATTTGAAACTGTGTATGGAGTCAGCCTCCACCCATCACTGTTTAGGATAAGGATACGCTGAGTGTATTCACCTAGTTGTGTTCACCTAGTTGTGTTTGCGGGGGTTGAGCTTTGCTCTTTCGGCCCGCCTCTCAACTGTCAATCAACTGTTTACTAACTACTATTTTTTTCCGCACCACACACACACACATACCCCAGGAAGCAGCCCGTGACAGCTGACTAACTCCCAGGTACCTATTTACTGCTAGGTAACAGGGGCATTCAAGGTGAAAGAAACTTTGCCCATTTGTTTCTGCCTGGTGCGGGAATCGAACCCGCGCCACAGAATTACGAGTCCTGCGCGCTATCCACCAGGCCCCGTAATTGTGTGTGTCTGTGTGCGCGTGCGTGCGCGCGCGAGCGTGCTTGTGTGATCATAGTTCAAATTACCATTCATTCGTAAGAATTATATAAACACAAAAAACTCAACTCTCACGGAACAATAAACTTGTAACCTACGAAGGGCGACTCATTGAGAGCAGAAAACTGATCGATGTCCGTGAAAACACACAATGAGAGAGTTTGGGGCTTAAGGGGAGAAAATAGGAGCTTCATGGGAGGATATGGTGGCTTAAGGGGAGGATATGGTGGCTTAAAGAGAGGATATGGTGGCTTAAGGGGAGGATATGGTGGCTTAAGGGGAGGCTATGATGGCTTAAGGGGAGGATATGGTGGCTTTAGGGGCAGGATATGGTGGCTTAAGGGGAGGATATGGTGGCTTAAGGGGAGGCTATGGTGGCTTAAGGGGAGGCTATGGTGGCTGAAGGGGAGGATATGGTGGCTTAAGGGGAGGCTATGGTGGCTTAAGGGGAGGATATGGTGGCTTAAGGGGAGGATATGGTGGCTTAAGGGGAGGATATGGTGGCTTAAGGGGAGGATATGGTGGCTTAAGGGGAGGATATGGTGGCTTAAAGAGAGGATATGGTGGCTTAAGGGGAGGATATGGTGGCTTAAGGGGAGGCTATGATGGCTTAAGGGGAGGATATGGTGGCTTTAGGGGCAGGATATGGTGGCTTAAGGGGAGGATATGGTGGCTTAAGGGGAGGCTATGGTGGCTTAAGGGGAGGCTATGGTGGCTGAAGGGGAGGATATGGTGGCTTAAGGGGAGGCTATGGTGGCTTAAGGGGAGGATATGGTGGCTTAAGGGGAGGATATGGTGGCTTAAGGGGAGGATATGGTGGCTTAAGGGGAGGATATGGTGGCTTAAGGGGAGGATATGGTGGCTTAAGGGGAGGATATGGTGGCTTAAGGGGAGGCTATGGTGGCTTAAGGGGAGGATATGGTGGCTTAAGGGGAGGATATGGTGGCTTAAGGGGAGGATATGGTGGCTTAAGGGGAGGATATGGTGGCTTAAGGGGAGGATATGGTGGCTTAAGGGGAGGATATGGTGGCTTAAGGGGAGGATATGGTGGCTTAAGGGGAGGATATGGTGGCTTAAGGGGAGGCTATGGTGGCTTAAGGGGAGGATATGGTGGCTTAAGGTGAGGATATGGTGGCTTAAGGGGAGGATATGGTGGCTTAAGGGGAGGATATGGTGGCTTAAGGGGAGGATATGGTGGCTTAAGGGGAGGATATGGTGGCTTAAGGGGAGGATATGGTGGCTATGGACGCTTCGGATACTATGTCTGAACATCGTCTTTACTCAAATAACCTTCTTTGTTTCTCTTTATTATAAATATACAAATAAATTAAAATATATTCACGAAGAGACAGAGAGCTCAACAATTATTCCTTAAACTTAATGTATGAAATTCTGTGATATTCCTCAGTAAAGAGTACTAATGATTCTTTCTAAAATCAAAATGCAACGAAATGATATAACAAAATTACATTTTGTATGTAATTTCACAAAATAACATTTTGTATGTAATTTCACAAAATTACATTTTGTATGAAATTACATCATAAGTTCTCTATTGCCTGATGTGTAAAATGTTGACGATAGCGGAAGTTGCTGTTTCTAAAGAATCAGAAATTGAATAGCTAAGAGTGACGCGGATCTGGAGCATGGCCTGGTTGTGGCTGTGTAGCTCCAGACCTCCTGAATGACTGCGTTGCTCCAGACCTCCTGAATGACTGCGTTGCTCCAGACCTCTTGAATGACTGCGTTGCTCCAGACCTCCTGAATGACTGCGTTGCTCCAGACCTCCTGAATGACTGCGTTGCTCCAGACCTCCTGAATGACTGCGTTGCTCCAGACCTCCTGAATGACTGCGTTGCTCCAGACCTCCTGAATGACTGCGTGGCTCCAGACCTCCTGAATGGCTGTGTTGCTCCAGACCTCCTGAATGACTGCGTTGCTCCAGACCTCCTGAATGACTGCGTTGCTCCAGACCTCCTGAATGACTGCGTTGCTCCAGACCTCCTGAATGACTGCGTTGCTCCAGACCTCTTGAATGACTGCGTTGCTCCAGACCTCCTGAATGACTGTGGCTCCAGACCTCCTGAATGACCACTGGGTTATCATAACCCAGTGGTCTCTTCACTGTTACCATAACCCAGTGGTCTCTACACTGTTATCATAACCCACTGGTCTCTACACTGTTATCATAACCCAGTGGTCTCTACACTGTTACCATAACCCAGTGGTCTCTTCACCGTTATTGTGATTGGAACACTCGTTAGTCTTACACCGGTGATTGAAACACTCAATTCGTTTATCACTTCGTTAAACATTTCAAAGTGTCGAGTCATGGCTGCCGACGTCTGCTGGACAGTTGAAAATAAAGTAATTTTAAATTTTGTAATATGGCTAATTTTCTGATTGTGACTTAATTTTTATTTGAAATTTATATATCTGCCCGTGTTCGGAGTTTTATAAGTTTGCATTTAATAGATGTTGACCAGACCACACACTAGAAGGTGAAGGGACGACGACGTTTCGGTTCTTCCTGGACCATTCTCAAGTCGATGTCCCTTCATCGTCGTCGTGAAACGTCGTCGTCCCTTCACCTTCTAGTGTGTGGTCTGGTCAACATACTTTAGCCACGTTATTGTGACTCATCGCCTGTGCATTTAATAGACTTTGGTAATAATTATTTTCAGTAAGTCGTATGTATTTACTTAACAATATTAATCTGAATTGTGTATTTAATAAATATCTTCCAGAAATCTATAAGGTTTATAATTTAACTAAACAGAATAACATAACTATAGGTGGCGTCTCTCACAGATAGGCCTCGTGGCTAAGTGGACAGCGCTTGGGGGTCGTAGTCCTAAGAGCCCGGGTTATATACACATTAGGGCTGTGAAAAGCACTCTCCGTGGAACCCCCTTGGTTCTAATGTCATTGAGGAGATCCCTGATAAGTAAGTAATTATCAAAGAAGGCACCAAGCCGGGAAGACTATGTAGCAAAGATCCTTGATAAGAAAATCACAGACCTCAGGAAGAAGGAAGACAGGACATCGATGCCCGCGGTGCTTTTTATCTCCTCACTAAATGCCTATCTCTTCCGAGGCTAACCTACTTTGAGGTGCGCCCCATCCTACGATAGCCCAATCAAATGATATTGTATTAAGCAGCTTCCTAGTGCCTCGGAGCTCATCGTAAACTTATTAATATATGTAAACAAAACCACCGAAGATTTAGAGAGAACAGGTTCGAACACTGGTTCCCCCCCCCTCCCCAGAAGGGGGGGGAGCATACTGAATGTCAGTTCGTACCACGAGTAGGTGGCTGAGGTTGAGAAGAGTTCGTACCACGAGAAGGTAGCTGAGGTTCAGAAGAGTTCGTACCACGAGAAGGTAGCTGAGGATCAGAAGAGTTCAAACGAAAAGTCACGGTATTTGTGGTTGCCTACAGCCACATCCTTGACCACACTAGCACTGGGCGGCCTCTGCTGGCGTCATGACTGACATGTTAAACCCGTTTGTCATTTAGTTAATCATTTCATTTATCCTCTACACCTTCCGTATGCAAAAACAAAATTTACACTTTATGTAAATTCTTCATTTACACCTTCCTTGCACTATTTTCGCTTCGCTTTTCCAATACAAACATTATTCTCTACACATTTCCTTCATAAACAATGTTCTCAACTACACTTTTCCTATACAAACAGTGTTCGCTACACCTTCCCCAAACTAACAATTAATACGTAAATACAGGTCTATAGGAACACTGTCACTTGTTCCCCTGTACGCTGATCAACGTTTGTGGAAAGATGTTAATTTACTTAAAACAAATGACAATATTATTTAGATTATTTAGATTCGTAAACTAATTGTTTGCTTGCATTCTCGTGTATGAATTAACTTACATACAATATAGCTATCCAGATTAACTCATTATACAAGGAAAAATATTGTTGGCAATTTGCAACTATTCGTTTTAAAATTTGTTATCCTGAATATTATATCAAGCCACAAAGTAAGATAGAAAACAGGAGATGCTTTTTTGGAACCGCCTTCCCGCTAAAGCTGTTAATGCCAAAACACTTCTGCAATTCAAAATCCTGCTGGATAAAATTATCAGGACCAATGGGTGGAATCTTTGACAAGCCGCTGGTTTCCTATCCTCGTTGAGGCCATTAGAGAGACCTTGCTCCTCAGGTAAATTTAGGTAATATACAATTATATTCCTGTATGTTGGGTGCTGGGGCTGCATGAGCATTCAACTGATTTGAACATTCAATGAAAGCAGGATCGTGTATCCTTGCTAAATCACTCAGGGGTTCTGATAGGATATCTCTTACGAGGTCATCCGATGCATGGGAGCAGGAAAGGAAGGCTGGTAGAGCAATCTGGGAGGCTGTGCGGACACCAAGGCTGCCGAGTCTTACAGGGAGGGTCACGACCTCAAACCAACACAGAGACAGGATCCAATGACCCTGCCTTAGAAACACAAGCAGCCACAAGAACATCAGCTGCTAATGTTGATGCATGTAATATCCTATCTATATCCCTTGTGTTATGCCATTCATCCACTTGTTTCATCTATTTCTGTACCACCTCACCCAAAGAGAATATTAGCCTATGCCAAAGCATTGAAAATCAGTTATAGCCCCGCTCCTGTGCCAGGTAAGTCCACTACGTGCTCACCATAGCCCGTGTTACTTGAAACGTTTTGTTCCGAGTAGATGACTTTTAAACAATAACAGTATGGTAAATTAGTCTTTGAGAATGTAAGAAGTGACCTTGCAAAACGCATCTTGGCGTCAGACCAAAAATAAAAGAGTGAAAATGAACGTTGGAGAGTTAATTTTCAACTTTCCCCGACAATGAAGAAAATATTAGAAATGATTTACACTACAGAAACGAACATAGGAATGTGCCTAAATGCTAATAGTGACAGCTCGGACAGGTACAACCGGAGTGTTGTGAACGCTTACGTCGACCGAGCTCTCACTCACAGTTCTGGTTGGAAGCAGGTTGACGAGGAACTCTGAAGAGTAAGTCAGGGCCTAGTCAATAATGGCTTCTCTAACTGTTATGTTGAAGACGTCATTAAAAGAAAGGTGACACGCCATGCAACCCATGAATAGTCAACCAACACAGCATCTCTACCTCCTATTAGAGTGTTTTACAGGAACTTCTTTTCGACGATTCATAAAAAGGAGGAAAGTGTCCTGAAAGATAATATTGATAGGAACCTTATCCCCCCAGACACAAATCATAATATACAATTAACAATTTACTACAAAAAATAAGAAGACTTTTCTTATTAATACATTAGACGTTTTCTTATTAATACATTAGACGTTAATACATTAATACGTTTCTGCCCGAAACGCTGCGCGTGCTAGTGGCTTTACAAGACTGTAATTACCATAATTGTATCCTCACATTCCTTATGTACATTCTTGTATATGCATAAATAAATAAATAAATAAATTAGGTACAACTCTCTAGACACTAAACAGAACGCCTTAAAAGAGACCAACGTCGTCTCTCCCTTCACATGCTCACTTGGGGACTGTCAGCTCCATACATCTCAATATATAGGCAAGACAACAACGTCTCTTTCTAGGCGATTAACAATGCACAAGCAACAGGGGCTCCATCAAGGAGAATTAATCTCCTTACACAACCAGACCATCACCAGAGAAATCTTAACAAGCAACACAGAAATAATGGACAGGTATGACGACGACAGACTCGACATCAGCGAGGACCTCACATCAAAAAGTTAAAACCAACAATCAACAGCCAGTTAACACATAATTACATTCTACCCACATCAAGACCCCGAACAAGCACAGAAAAAGTTGAAGCAAGAACATAGGGATTCAATGGCCTATTAATATCCATTATGCCATTCATCCACTTCTACATCACAATCACGTCCTGTTCCACCTCACCCCAAGCAAATGTAAGCTTTGGCAGAGTATGGAGAATTTGTCTTTGAAAATGTAAGGAGTGCCTTGTTAAACGCCTCCCTAGCCGTCAGACCATAATAGTGTGAAAATGAACTTTGGAGAGTTCATTTTTAAACTTCCCTCGACAAAGAAGAAAAACATAAGAAATAATGAGATGGTGTGTTCTTGTCTACACTGTCAATTGTCCTGAAAATTTTGCATGTGGTGATCACGTCTCCCTCGATTCTTTTATCTTCAATTGATGTTAACGGGTCTTTCCTCGTAACACATGCCTCTCAACTCTGGCACTATTCTGGTGGCACACCTCTGGACCTGTACCAGCTAAACAATATTCTACGAGATAAGCTTTAACATACAAAATTCCGAATTACTCATTATTTAGATTTATAATAGTAGATGTTTTTTTCGCCAAATTTGCATATGCAGCTGATATTAGTCGTTTAATGTAGTAACTTCGAAAAGACAGGTTCCGTGTGATGTTAATTTCCAGGCCATTAGGAAGTAAAGCAAATACTTATGAACCTGTACATCTTTTCTCAATCTCTGGCGGCTTTCTTTATTATATATTAAACAGTTTGTGAGCTCGGAAGCACTAGGAGGCTCTTTATACCAATAACAGCATTTGACTGGAAAGTTTCGATCCACTTAAACTGTTTAATAAATATAAACAAAGCCGCCAAAGATTGAGAAAAGATGGTTCGTAAGTGGTGTCGTAAATCGTTGTCTTATCCAGGTCCTGCTCTTTACCTCTGGCCGGTTCCGGGAGGATTCCTTCCACTACTTGGTAGCTTGAGTTCGGTTCAATATTATCAGCATAGAGTTCCGATATTTTGCCCTTATTTCATCACTAGTTGTCTCGACGGTCACTAGTGCTATTTGGTTGAAAGTTATTATATTCAATTCAGGTATGTTTTCTTTGCTCTATTGTAAAGACCTCCTGGGACTCCCATTGAATGTCCTGAACTGTGTTATATTTCATTATTTGTTTTTTTATTGTTGTTTCTGTCGTTATGTGACTGTCGAGTTTGGGCTCAGTCTCCTATGTTAATTTCAAATTATCTTTATGCTTCTTTCTTCTCTCTCTGAAGGATTCCCTTATGGTTCTGTGGCACAAGTCTTTGCTCTCAGCAGTTCTGCTACTGCTGTAGGTTTTCTGAGATCTCGTGTTTATTCCCGGCACCAATGGTTAAAAATGGGTATATCCAACACCTTTCAATGTTCTTTCATTGGGCGACAAAAACCTCGTCGACTGTTCTTCACAATGTTTTGATCAGGAAGTTCAGCGCGTCCTTTGTAGTCTTCACTGTGCGTTTTGTGTCTCACGCAATTAATTCCTTACAGAACATCTCTCACTTCTTCATATTTCTCCCTTCGATATATTAAACTTCTACCTCATGATTCTATCCATCAACTTCTCTCTTCCACCAGAAACTCAAAGGCCAGCAGCATTCACAGTGATCACTCCTTTCCAAACAAGTTTTCAAGCAGATTTCTATTATGTACCTACTTACAGGCAATCAATGACTAGTCGAGGAGCTTCGCCTCTATAGCAAGCAAATCAAACACACATATATGCACAAATGAAGAGCGGAAGAAAAAGTTGTGACTGACCTTGCAAGGGGGAACAATGTCGGCGTGTGGTGGCGTGGCTCTCCTGAGAGGTATAAGAGGCAGCGCTTCCTTCAGCAGGCCACAGTCGGCCTAGAGATCCTCCAGAGCCATGAAGACCCTGGTGAGTTATCCGCGTGCTGACACAGGCTTCACCATTATGTAGGTTACAGGCCTTACAGGCCTCCACAAAATAATTATTCCAAGCTCTCCCTGAGACAAATTTTAAATTTTCCTTAAATAAAAACTTTCTGAGCTGTTATGACAAACTCGCATACGTTGACGCTTAAGTAATTTTGAAATAAAACCGTGAATTAACTTTCTATTGATCCATCAGGTGGTTGCTGCCGTCCTGGCCGCCTTCTGCTTGGTGGCCACAGATGCTGAGCCTTCCCCAGATGCTGAACCAGGCTTCCTTGGAGGCTACCGTGGCCACAATGTAGGCTTCCTTGGCGGCTACGGTGGAGGCTACGGTGGAGGCTATGGCTACCGCGGAAAGAGGAGTGCTGAGCCTTCCCCAGATGCTGAACCAGGCTTCCTTGGAGGCTACCGTGGCCACAATGTAGGCTTCCTTGGCGGTTACGGTGGAGGCTATGGCTACCGCGGAAAGAGGAGTGCTGAGCCTTCCCCAGATGCTGAACCAGGCTTCCTTGGAGGCTACCGTGGCCACAATGTAGGCTTCCTTGGCGGCTTCGGTGGAGGCTATGGTGGAGGCTATGGCTACCGTGGAAAGAGGAGCGCTGAGCCTTCCCCAGAACCAGGCTTCCTTGGAGGTTACCGTGGAGGCGTCATTGGACACCACGGGGGAGCCTACAGAGGAAGATTTGGGTACTACGGTTGACCACAGTGGCTTCCCACGTGCGACTGTCATATGTTTAGAATCTAATAAACAAAAATATTCATAAATGGCAAACATAATTTATCCTCTCCTTGAAGATTTATTTTTATAATGGGAATTCAGTTAAAATGAATCCATGTGCTTGTTGAGATCAATGGATTTTTATTACCAAAATAAGTAAAAATATTTCAAGACTCATAGTGCATAAACAGCTTGTTGACTGTGCCTGAGTAAATGGGAGAATCGTGTAAAATCCCGGTTGGTGTCTCGGAGAGACTGCTTGATCCGTGTGAGAGCAGGAACACTCCCGGTTGCAATTTGTTTTTACCATGTCGTGGAATAGTCGATTACGGCGCGTCTGGGATCATCCTGGACGTGCGTTCGAACCATCATCACGGCCTTTGTGGATTTGTTCATTTGATATATCACGCTGTTGTGATTTCTGAGTGTATTAAAGATATGTAATATGTAATCGCTCTACAATGTGTATACCGTTCATCTATTTTACATCATTAACGACATTGGCCTTATGCACAAAACAATTTATATAGATATGAGTTCTTACATTCCTGTACAGTTTCTGGCATGCATGGCATTTCGAACAAGTCTTTAATCCTAATTTTCCCCGAAATACGACCCGCTAAATCGTTTAACAACCAGGTACCTATTCACTGCTGGGTGAACAGAGGCTATAGTTAAGGATTGGCACCCAGTCAATCCTACCCCCGGCCAGGAAACGAACCCAGGACAAGGCACTCGCAAAGCGCCCAGCGAGCGTTTTACCACTGCGCCACAGGAACTTATTATTCATACAATTCAGACCTTATCCTTGATTGCAAATGTCCGGTGTCCTTATACCCTTTCTGATCCAGTGTTGGATGTCCTTATACCCTTTCTGATCCAGTGTTGGGTGTCCTTATACCCTTTCTGATCCAGTGTTGGGTGTCCTTATACCCTTTCTGATCCAGTGTTGGGTGTCCTTATACCCTTTCTGATCCAGTGTTGGATGTCCTTATACCCGTTCTGATCCAGTGTTGGGTGTCCTTATACCCGTTCTGATCCAGTGTTGGGTGTCCTTATACCCGTTCTGATCCAGTGTTGGGTGTCCTTATACCTGTTCTGATCCAGTGTTGGGTGTCCTTATACCCTTTCTGATCCAGTGTTGGGTGTCCTTATACCCTTTCTGATCCAGTGTTGGGTGTCCTTATACCCGTTCTGATCCAGTGTTGGGTGTCCTTATACCCGTTCTGGTCCAGTGTTGGGTGTCCTTATACCCTTTCTGATCCAGTGTTGGGTGTCCTTATACCCTTTCTGATCCAGTGTTGGGTGTCCTTATACCCTTTCTGATCCAGTGTTGGGTGTCCTTATACCCTTTCTGATCCAGTGTTGGGTGTCCTTATACCCTTTCTGATCCAGTGTTGGGTGTCCTTATACCCTTTCTGATCCAGTGTTGGGTGTCCTTATACCCGTTCTGATCCAGTGTTGGGTGTCCTTATACCCGTTCTGATCCAGTGTTGGGTGTCCTTATACCCGTTCTGGTCCAGTGTTGGGTGTCCTTATACCCTTTCTGATCCAGTGTTGGGTGTCCTTATACCCGTTCTGATCCAGTGTTGGGTGTCCTTATACCCGTTCTGGTCCAGTGTTGGGTGTCCCTATACCCGTTCTGATCCAGTGTTGGGTGTCCTTATACCCGTTCTGGTCCAGTGTTGGGTGTCCTTATACCCGTTCTGGTCCAGTGTTGGGTGTCCTTATACCCGTTCTGGTCCAGTGTTGGGTGTCCTTATACCCGTTCTGGTCCAGTGTTGGGTGTCCCTATACCCGTTCTGATCCAGTGTTGGGTGTCCCTATACTCGTTCTGGTCCAGTGTTGGGTGTCCCTATACCCGTTCTGATCCAGTGTTGGGTGTCCTTATACCCGTTCTGATCCAGTGTTGGGTGTCCTTATACCCGTTCTGATCCAGTGTTGGGTGTCCTTATACCCGTTATGATCCAGTGTTGGGTGTCCTTATACCCGTTCTGATCCAGTGTTGGGTGTCCTTATACCTGTTCTGATCCAGTGTTGGGTGTCCTTATACCCGTTCTGATCCAGTGTTGGGTGTCCTTATACCCGTTCTGGTCCAGTGTTGGGTGTCCTTATACCCGTTCTGATCCAGTGTTGGGTGTCCTTATACCTGTTCTGATCCAGTGTTGGGTGTCCTTATACCTGTTCTGATCCAGTGTTGGGTGTCCTTATACCTGTTCTGATCCAGTGTTGGGTGTCCCTATACCCGTTCTGGTCCAGTGTTGGGTGTCCCTATACTCGTTCTGGTCCAGTGTTGGGTGTCCCTATACTCGTTCTGGTCCAGTGTTGGGTGTCCCTATACTCGTTCTGATCCAGTGTTGGGTGTCCCTATACAGGTTCAGATCCTCGTTACCCAGTTCCTGGTATTCCAGTTCCGCTCCTGTTGATTAGGTTCCGGGGCCATCCACGAGGACTACTCGGCACATCGACGATTTCTTGCAGGTCAACATTCGATCTCCCGATGTTGCAAGTTGTTATAGAGACATTTCCTTCACTCCTGTCTCCCATCCCAGCTCCGATCTCCAAGGTGCTACACAATCACACTGTCAGGAAGTTTTCTCCTGATCATAACCTTACCGTCATGTCTTAATCTAGAGTACATCTAGCCCTCTAACCTCTAGCTCTGTGGCGCTCCGGTCCCTCAAGGATCTGTTCCATATTTTCAATGTATATTCACAACCCTTTTGGGTCGATTCCAGCTTTATTGCAAATTGCAATTTGCAATAAACTAGGATAATTATGGGATAACTAATGTCTGGGATAATAATGTTTTGCAATAAGATATGTATTTATTTATTTAAGGGTTCTTACTCGTGACAGTCACTAAATGGAGGAGTTTGGACGTGGGAAGCCATTATGTTCAACCGAAGTATCCGTAGCTTCTGCCGAAGCCTCCGAGGTGGTGGCCACGGTAGCCTCCAAGGAAGCCTGGCTCAGCATCTGGGGAAGGCTCAGCACTCCTCTTTCCGCGATAGCCATAGCCTCCACCATAGCCTCCACCGTAGCCGCCAAGGAAGCCTACATTGTGGCCACGAAAGCCTCCAAGGAAACCTGGTTCAGCATCTGGGGAAGGCTCAGCACTCCTCTTTCCACGGTAGCCATAGCCTCCACCGTAACCGCCAAGGAAGCCTACATTGTGGCCACGAAAGCCTCCAAGGAAACCTGGTTCAGCATCTGGGGAAGGCTCAGCGCTCCTCTTTCCGCGGTAGCCATAGCCTCCACCGTAGCCTCCACCGTAGCCTCCACCGTAGCCTCCAAGGAAGCCTACATTGTGGCCACGAAAGCCTCCAAGGAAACCTGGCTCAGCATCTGGGGAAGGCTCAGCACTCCTCTTTCCGCGGTAGCCATAGCCTCCACCATAGCCTCCACCGTAACCGCCAAGGAAGCCTACATTGTGGCCACGGTAGCCTCCAAGGAAGCCTGGCTCAGCATCTGGGGAAGGCTCAGCATCTGTGGCCACCAAGCAGAAGGCGGCCAGGACGGCAGCAACCACCTGATGGATCAATACAAAAGTTAATTCACGGTTTTATGTCAAAATTACTTAAGCGTCAACGTATGAGAGTTTGTCATGGCAGCTCAGTAAGTTTTTTTATAAGGAAAATTGAAAATATGTCCCAAGGAGAGCTTGGAATAATTATTTTGTGGAGGCCTGTAAGGCCTGTAACCTACATAATGGTGAAGCCTGTGTCAGCACGCGGATAACTCACCAGGGTCTTCATGGCTCTGGAGGATCTCTAGGCCGACTGTGGCCTGCTGAAGGCAGCGCTGCCTCTTATACCTCTCAGGAGAGCCACGCCTCCACACGCTGACATTGTTCCCCCTTGCAAGGTCAGTGACAACATTTTCTTCCGCTCTTCATTTGTGCATATATGTGTGTTTGATTTGCCTGCTATAGAGGCGAGGCAAAGATGAGTACTAGTAAATAGTTTCCCCGGGTAGTTAAACCCCCCAAAAATGGTCAAGACGTTTTCCTTGTGAGAAAATTCAACTTGGAGTTCATCAAAATATGTTGTTTAATATGAAATTGTTTTGTTTATAGCAGCGTTGAGAGCAATTGCTATATAATTCATGAGATACGATGAAGAGACTACGGTGTTCTGAGACTGGAACTAACAGGGATATCTCAGCTTGTTGGTAATGTACCATGCACAGGAAACATAGAGAAAAGTAATGACACATACACGATTCATTTTTGTAGTTTCATAAAGAAAAATGTCAATAAAACCATCAGAACCACAGTCATAGGAAGCCAATGTTTTAACTCTGAATCACCTTGTTGAACACGCTAGATAATTCACAGTGTCTAACTCAAGGGTGCATTTGCTCACCTTACATGTTTGACCTCCTTTTCAGCTTTAGCAGTATTGTGAAGAGCGCCGCTATGCACGCTGGTAAGGCTCACCTTGTAAAGTAAGTAATTATCAAAAGAAGGCACCAAGCCGGGAAGGCTGTCACCTTGTAAAGCTAAATATATATATATATATATTCTAGTTCCTGGCGAAACTGTCAAGGATCTTGGTGGTAGAGAGGTAAGGTTCGTTGCTGTGAGTTTCTTGATCATTAGTTCAAGTCACTATTTACTCCAGTTGATTTTATCATAAATTTATATATTGGAACAAATTTTTCTTGTTAACGCACAATTCTTAAAAATTGATGAATGTGTCTTAATGGTAGCCGCTACTTTAACGAACCTATCCTGAATATATGTTGTGAATAATATTTTTTCTTTCATAAACAGGAAGCTTGGCGGCTGGATTACATAGCATTTGCCCTTTGTTGATGAGGACGGGCTGAAATATGTATGGCTTGTCTCGCTTATTGTTAAGATGACCGGGTCCAACCCGTCCTCGACTCAAGTCCATTACATTCAGCGGTCAACCCCACAGACGCATTCATAAATTTTAACATGCTGTTTATTCAAAACGGGAATTTTCTCAAGTATAAATTAATATTATAGTATATTGGCATATTGTGTATATATAGGCATAGGATAGGTTAGGTCAGGTGTTTAGGTTCTGTTGGCGATTATTTGTATTTGTAGTACGTGGGTGAAGCATTTATAGCGTTGTGATTCGAACAAAATTCGTCAGTGAAGCACTTGTTCCGGATATGTTCGAACGTCAGCAGTTGTGAGTCGTGTGTAAACCGTTTTTCATTCATAAACAGCTGGGGGTTTGGCGGGTGGATGAAATCACTTTTGGATCTTTGTTTGGAGGACGGGCTGCCGGGTCAGCTCTTGACGACCACTGAGGCAGACAACCGCTGGTGAAAAGGAGTTAACAGTCCTACAGTTCGCCAGACGCTTTCACCTTCTCTCAAGGTAAGGAGTCGAATCAATAGCAATTGCTTGTCTGTGTATCAGTTCAGCGTGTAATCCAATTTCTTCATCAATGTGAATCTCAGCCATTACTTCAATTCTTCCACGCTACTCTCCTTGACAGTAAAGAAAACACCGGCTCGTGGTCCCCAGTGTCCCTCCGGAAGGGTAAGTTGTGAATAGCACAGGTCAGCCTGACCCCAGGTCACGCCCACTGGTGAAGCCAGTCCTTACACAGGCACTGTCAGTGTCCCCAGGTGTTATTGCGTACTAGCCTATCTAATGATAGTATATATACCAGGGGTGGTAATAATTATTAATTAATTATATTATTATTATAATAAAAATTATAACAATTATTGTTGTAATTACTAATTATCATTCTTCCTTCTGCTTGGTCTTGAAGGAAGCCGGCCTCGGGTGAAAGAGGGCTGTGACGATCTCTGTCAGGAACCCGTAGGTGCGGGACTCGGAAGTCCACCTCCTGGGGCTCGTGCGGCCCCGCAGGCTCTGCTGCAGGAGGCTGGGGTCGTTTTTGCCCTTGATGGGGTGGTTCTTCTCCGGCCCCGACCACGGCGGTCTCCGGGTTTGGAGTCCCTGTACCTTCTTTCACCAACTTCCAAGTCAACTCCGATTGTTTTTTTTTGTTTTTTTTTTGCCGCCGGAAGCGGCTAGTTTATTGTGCACCCCATACCCATCCTGTGAGCGGTAGCGCAAAAAACATTACAGAGGGCACAAAAGGTCTTTGTCAGACCTCATCTTAGATTATTACATAAACAATTTCATCTATCCTTCACACCTTATAGTTACAATGTCAGCTAGTTACAGAGAAAGTGCTATTTCAAGAGCTACATATTTACAGTAAATCATATATTAATGGTAGGTCTTATCGCTAATACATAATAGTTTGACCAATAGGGATATTACAAAGTCATAGGGGAGCTGCTGTTTATTATTAGTCTTCACAATACAATACTTGTTTCTTAATCTCATATGTCGTTTATCTACTGGAAGCGAAATATGGATACAGTGCAAGGATTTCAGGTAATTTATCCATGGTAATAAGATAGGTTGCCCTATCATACAGAGTGAGCTTAGATTTATCTCTAAATGGCTCAATTTTACTACAATCCAAGATATAGTGTTCGAGTGTGTGTCCCTGTCTTCGTCCACACACTTTACCCTTTACTTCATCTAGATCCCTATACAAGCCCAACTGCCAGAGATACTTGTAGCCAAGTCTTATACGAGCTGTGACAACATCTGTTAGTCTACTTTGTTAGTCTACAACATCTGTTAGTACTACTTTGTTACTTGCCCCATACACATGTTTTACTTCACACATTTCATTGTGATGAACAATGGACCTGCTAGTTCCAGTTTGCACTGTTCTACTTTCTTCAAATCCATCCAGGAGTTCTCGTCTAATGACACTTTTAAGGGACCTATTTGATAACTCAAGATTCCGTTCAATACTGTCTTTATTTACTGCAGCCTTAGCAAGGGCGTCAATTTTGTCATGTTCCTGCATGCCAATGTGAGAAGGAATCCACAACATTTTTATATTTACCCTCTTGCTAAGTATTCTTATATATCTACGTCTAGCTTCCAAGACAAGCACGTTATTACTTGATTGCAAACTGTTTATTGCTCGTAGTGAGGAAAGGGAGTCAGAAATAATTAAGCTGTCTACTTCAGTGTTGTCAATAATTTCGAGTGTTACCCGTATTGCTACCAACTCGGCTTGCATTGTGGATGCCCAGTTACTAATTCGGATATTCCTTTGAATTGTGCTGCCATCGGGCTCCGGAGCTCACAGTTCCTGGGACAGCGCTGAAACCAATCGTATTGGCGTTTACCTTTCCATTGGAGACTTTCGGCGCCGTGGAGAGAGGTGACCTGCTGCTTGGGTAACAGTTTCTCCTCCATATCAACCTACCCTGGCTTTGCGCCCTGGAGAAGCCACTCCAGACCGACAGCCAGAGCGCAACTCCTTAGTCTTTTATGACTGATGGCTGCCTACTTCTGTACCAGGGGTAGGACCCTGCGGCCTGCTTGATGGGGTTCTGGGAGTTCTTCTACTCCCCAAGTCCACCAGGCTGTTGCTTGGAGCGGCCCGCAGGCCCACATACCCACCACAGCCCGGTTGGTACGGCACTTCTTTAAGAAAACTATCTAGTTCTCTCTTGAAAATGTCCACGGTTGTTCCGGCAATATTTCTTATACTCGCTGGGAGGACGTTGAACAACCGTGGACCTCTAATGTTTATACAGTGTTCTCTGATTGTGCCTATGCCTCCCCCCCCCCCCCCCCCTCCCACCTGCTCTTCACTGGTTCTATTCTGCATTTTCTTCCAAATCGTTCACTCCAGTACGTTGTTATTTTACTGTGTAGACTTGGGACTTGGCCCTCCAGAGTTTCTTGATCATTAGTTCGAGTCACTAATTGCTCCAGTTGATTTTCTCATAAATTTATATATGGGAACAAATTTTTATGTATATCATTTATATTACTGTATATTATTATACCACATGTATAATATTTGATATTTCTCTCTCGTCTCCTTTCTAGTGAGTACATTTGGAGAGCTTTGAGACGATCCCAATAATTTAGGTGCTTTATCGCCTCGATGCGTGCCGTATATGTTCTCTGTACTCCTTCTCTGGTACTCGGTGAGGCGTTCGAAAACTATTTTGTTAATGAAACTTGATCTGTAAGTTTGTTTGTGAGATCAGAATGCATGGAGAACATTATACAATGTGCGGGCTTATGAAGTGTTCGCTATGTAAAATGTGGTTTTAGTGTGACGAAAAGTTGACGATGGACCACCTCACAGAGCTCGGTGGACCACCTCACAGAGCTTTGTGGTCCACCTTACAGAGCTCTGTGGACCACCTTACAGAGCTCTGTGGACCACCTTACAGAGCTCTGTGGTCCACCTTACAGAGCTCCGTGGACCACCCTCACAGAGCTCTGTGGACCACCTTACAGAGCTCTGTGGACCACCTCACAGAGCTCCGTGGACCACCTCACAGAGCTCTGTGGACCACCTCACAGAGCTCTGTGGTCCACCTTACAGAGCTCTGTGGACCACCTTACAGAGCTCTGTGGACCACCTTACAGAGCTCTGTGGACCACCCTCACAGAGCTCTGTGGTCCACCTTACAGAGCTCTGTGGTCCACCTTACAGAGCTCTGTGGACCACCTCACAGAGCTCTGTGGACCACCTTACAGAGCTCTGTGGACCACCCTCACAGAGCTCTGTGGACCACCCTCACAGAGCTCTGTGGACCACCTTACAGAGCTCTGTGGACCACCTCACAGAGCTCCGTGGACCACCCTCACAGAGCTCTGTGGACCACCTTACAGAGCTCTGTGGACCACCCTCACAGAGCTCTGTGGTCCACCTTACAGAGCTCTGTGGTCCACCTTACAGAGCTCTGTGGACCACCTCACAGAGCTCTGTGGACCACCTCACAGAGC